TATTTTAACAAGTTACACTATTATAATCGTCTCGTTAATACCTTCGAAATGAGTCTAATATTGAATAGTTTTTGACTTAATTATATTATTATATATCATATATACTGTGAAAAAATATTTTTAATATTTAAATTTATACTTTTATAGTTATTATTTATATATATGCTATACATTTTGGGATTAGTCTGTCCAAATTGCACTGTATAATATGTTCATGGGTTTTTTTGAAATATATATACATGTATTAATTCAACCTTAATCTGTGCTTCTGGACAAGAAAGAGGGTAAACAGTTGAAATTTCATTCTAAAATCCATCTTTTTTGGTCTTTTCATAGCTTATGATCTGTCAAATTTGTAGTTTTCTTTATTGGTTTTGAGTGTTTATCTTAAAACTCAAGTTGTTTGGTTCTTTGCTCTTGGTGTAAATCAAACACATTTGTGGAGTCGTTTAAATATGTTGAATTTTAAATATATTGGATTTTAAATTGTCATACAATTTTTTTCATCGATAATCTGTAATTAGAATCATAACTCTTATTTATTCAAATTGTATTAATATGTAAAGATCAAATGTAACATATATCATCGTTAAATATTGTCTTATAAAACCAGTGAAACTTCAAAATCGTTAAAATTCATGGCYCCCGCCGCATTGCGCGGGTACACAACTAGTATATATATATATATGAGGTTTACTTTGCAAAACACGTTATTTGTACAAATCGTACAAACCTCAGTTCATTTTTTTTGTAATCATGAGAGGTTGATTAATCATTTTTATTGTGAAGAGTATTAATCATGGGTATTATCATCTTCATTATGTTAATTTTAGATAAATACATGAAACAGTTTCATTAGAATTCCATAAATATTATATGAAACAATTTCATAACCATATATGAAACAACTTCATCAAAAAAATATTATATAAAACAATTTCATAAGGTTAAACAATTTCATGAAAAAAAAAAATCATAAGATTAAACAATGAAATTAACAAATGCGGGTGGTTTGCACGGTTTGAACAAATATGGGTGATTCGCAATTGATCGCTATATATATAGGACCAGGTTCAGGAGAAAAGCACAAAAAAAAACTTAAGAAACACTATAATAACCATTCTTTTGTAAAGTATACACATGTGAATACGAACAATTTGTCGAGTATCCACTTGTGCATAACATGGACATGTGCGTAGAAAACAAGAAACACCTTCAATTACTTGTATCTACATGTGCATAACGTCCAAACCGTATAAGTTTCATACCGCACCACAAAATGCAGTGCAGTGAAGTCTACGTGATTTGTACCTAAATATCATGCACGGAAAGTAGAAAGCAAAAATACAGAGTTTTACACAATACTGTTAACACGATGGATCGATACCTTGTGCTTCTGTAGTTGACACAATGAATATCACAACAATTATATTATTATACACATTTTTAGGATTTTTTTTTTAAACACACGTCTTCCAAATAGTACGGACCCACCTGGCCCCACCTGGCCCCACCACCGATAGTCATCATACAATACAGATACAGAATTTCACCGACGTCAAATAATTCCCCCGCCCCACCCCAGTCTTTTCTCAATCAAACAAATTGCCCCCACCTTTTTCCTTGCATTTTACTTGTCACCCTCAACCAAATGAAATACCCCTTATAAAAAGGAAAACCAAGATCAAACCATTACACCAAAATCTCACAATGGGAACCCTTTACCAATCCCCCACCATATCTACTTCTCCCAAGATCATCCAAGACCTCAAAGTCACCATCCATGACTCCATCACCATTTTCCCACCTCAAGAAACCAAAACCGAGGCGGGATCGATGTTCTTATCGAACATCGATCAGGTTCTCAATTTCAACGTGGAAACGGTCCATTTCTTCGTTGCAAACCCTCAGTTTCCGCCACCATTGGTGGCAGAAAAGCTGAAATCAGCGCTTAGTAAAGCGTTGGTACCGTATGGTTTCTTGGCGGGACGGTTGAGGTTGAACCCTGAATCGCGACGGTTCGAGTTCGACTGCAACGGGGCAGGAGCCCAGTTTGTGGTGGGTTCGAGTGAGTTCGAGTTGGGTGAGATTGGTAACTTGGTGTATCCCAACCCTGGGTTCAAACAACTAGTGGTCAAAAGCTATGATAATTTGGATATCGTTGATCGACCATTATGCATTTTACAGGTATCTGTTAACCCATATTATATATATATATATATATATATATATATATATATATAAAAAATAAAAAACCGATGAACACCTTAGTAAACCAATCATCTAAAAGGGTATATACATATGCATACAACTAATAGAAGTTCTTTTTGGTTTGTATGCACGCGTGCATACCGGATAAATTCCTTAAAATAAACTTGTATGCATATATGCATATCGTCCAAATGAATGATTAACAGGGTGTTCCTCAGTTTGTCATTTTTTTACGGTTTTCCTCTAAACCTCCCATCCTCTCTCTCTCTCTATAAATAAATATATATATATATATATATAACTAATTAAAGTTCTTTTTGGTTTTTATGCATGCGTGCACACCGGGCAAATTTCTTATAATAAACGTGTATGAACATATGCATATCGTCTAAATGAATGGTTAACAGAGTGTTTCTCAATTTTTTATTTTTTTACGGTTTTCCTCTAAACCTCCTCTCTCTCTCTCTCTCTCTCTCTCTCTCTCTCTATATATATATATATATATATATATATAATACTCCCTTCATCCCAAAATAAGTGTCGACTTTCAAAAATAAAATTTAATGTCCCATATTAACCTTTATTTGTAAGATGGAGAAAATTTCTAGCTCTCGGTTATTAAGGGATAAAATTGTCATTTGCTTACTTAAAAGTGTAATAACTACACAGTCATTTTCAATATGCACATTTATTTGGGGACGTAGGAAGTATTCTTTAAATCTTTTGAACAAATGTATGAGAGGATCCAAAAAAAGATCGGAGTTTTTCTTCAAGAAAGTGGGACCCACAAGCAAAAAACAGGTTTTTTTAAGAACTCGTAATTGCATAAGCGAACAAAAGGTATTTTTGTCAAAAGTTCTTTTTCGTAAGCTTAGTTACGGACAAAAAGCTCTCGAAAAAGTGTAACCATTTAAAAACTACATAGAATAACACCTACTTAGGAAAAATACTGACAGATTACGACGTTAACTTTTTGATGAATTATCAGTTGATTGATGTGACGGAAATACGTTCTAGTAACGTGGTTTGATCATCAATTATGAATGTTTGATATATATATATATATATATATATATTTATATATATATATGGTCCGATATCTGAACAATACAAATAGTCGACAGGGAAAAAAAGATATAAAATCAGGTTCGTTACAACAATTTTGTACTGTTTCCATTAGATTTCAATATTCGAGTCTAAAAAGATTATAATCAGATATACAAGGTGTTGTTTGGTTCAGGTTGAGAAATGAAAATGACAGAGGGCTTAATGATACAAAAAGCGACTTATTTAGTAAGCTTTCAAGGAGGGCTTAATACAAAAAATCAAGTTCTTAATCATATATAACCCTCCCAATAGAAAAACGCGTTTCTTCCATTTATCAAAAACCCTTCCCAAACAAAAACATTATCAATCTATACAAACAGTTTTATCTATACAAGACTTAATAAAAAAAACCAACCGAACAGCATTTTCAAAAATCGTTTAAAATAATATTTAACAAAATTAGAAAGGTACTCGCACAATGTAGCGAGATATATCTCGATTTTAATTTTTCGTTTTATTCCGTCTCTATAGATGTTTTAATACGGTTTTTATATGGTTTTGAGAAATAGATAATGTTTTTATTTTTGAATAAAATATAAAATTGAATAAATCATAAAATTTCGAAAATAAATATATCAATATTAGTTTCATATTAACTATTTTAATTTAGATTTAATAACGAAGTAATTTATTTTTGATTTAATAATATAATTTTTTATAAGAATAATAATTAAATATTATGTTAGAACTCAACAATTATCTTAATTATATTTTAGATTTTTTTATATTTAAAATAAAATGTTTATTTTGTATTTGACTACGTTTATCTGTAGTTGGTTACACGAATTCAAAAATGAAACTTTAATAAGTTGTATTTACGCATAATTTACTTTTAATCGGGAATTTTAACCAATATGCATCAATAAACAGCATTTGATACATAAAAAATAATTTTTAAGAGTTTTTATCAAATATTTTATAATATAATATAGATATAGATTATGTGATATTCAGAGTTTTTATAATATTTAAATAAAAAAATATAATATTTAGTTTTTTTATTTTATATATATATTGACTTGGGATCATGTGAGACCAAAGATTTTTCGTGAGACCCATAAGACAAATTCTCAACCCTTATATTAGATTTACAATCTGAACATTCATAATCACAAAATTACCACGAGACTTCTCAATAATCACAAAATTGTCATCGTACAACTTTAGACCATTAGATCATTAGCTTATAAAGTTGATCAATAATCATAAATTGATCTTACGAGTCTCACGAAAAACCTTTGATCTCACGTAAACCCAACTATATATATATATATATATATATATATATATATATATATATATATATATATATATATATATAAGAGGTGGATAATAAGTGTATTTATGAATGTTGGTGGGATAATTAGGGTCACGATATGAAAGGTACATAACCGCAGTATTAGGTTTGCCATAAATCAATGGCTACCTGCCCAAATTTATTTGCCTTTGGTCAAACCAGTTAACTGGTCGGTCTTCGTATGGTTTTTTATCAGTATCGTTTTTAATTTTCTAACGTGTTTAAATGGGTTACTGTATAATTGGTTTTGATCTGGATCAGTCTTTAAAAGATAAGTCAGTGATTGAACATAACTGGTAGGACCAGCTTTTTTGGAACTGTCTTTAGTGATGACAAAAAAAATTAAAAATCATTTTTTATGCATGAAATACGATCAGTCTTTAAAAATATATTGATGCATGTTACTTAAAATTCAAGATTACAAATAAGTTGTGCGTAAGTACAACTTATTAAAGCTCGATGTTTKAATTCGTATAACTAACTGCAGATAAACATAATTAAATAGAGAATAAACATCTTATTTTAAATATAAAAAATCTAAAATATAGTTAGAATAATAATTAAGTTCTAATAAAATACTTAATTATTATCTTTATTTGTCTTTAGTCAAACCAGTTAACTGGTCGGTCTCGTACGGTTTTTTGTCAGTATCGTTTTAATTTTTTAACGTGCTTAAATGGGTTACAGTGATTGAGCATAACTGGTAGGACCAGCTTTTTTGGAACTGTCTTAAATGGAGAATTATTTTGAATATTTCAAATTTAATTATATAATTAAAATATTTTAAAAATGAATCGTTCAATTTATTTATTTTTTTAAATTTTTATATAAAATTATGGGTAAATTGCGTGAAAAAATAACATACTTTAACTTGATTCCTATTGTGGGTAACGTACTTGGGAAACTTCCAATTTGATACCTAAGATGTAAAGTTTTAAACATTTAAGTAAACCGAGTAGCATGTTGAAGACTAATTTTAGAGTAATAAAAATCATGTCACTAACCACGTCAGCAAATAATACTGAATTGGATACCACATCACTCGACACATCAGCATGGTAACCGGTTAATGTTTCAACCAGTTACTCGGGTACTTAAATGTTTAAAATTTTACATCTTATATACCGAAATAATAGTTTTAAAAGTATGTTATCCAAAATATGAATAAAGTTAAAGTCTCTTACTTTTTCATGCAATTTGTCCAAAAAATAGTCTTTTTAAACTTATACATCTATTTTAAAAACCCTTAAATATTAACTTATTAAGTACATAAAATTGTCTGAAGCTTTTAAGCATTGACAACATAAAAACTGCGTAATTATTCTGATTAGACATGTCATTATCAGTCTTAAACTGATCTGATCCCGTTTCACTTGTCTCAAATGCCCATCTATACTTCTGAGTTCTGAGTACTTTCACATACATGTGTCGAAGTACAGACCTAAATTGGCCAAAATTGTTTTCAGCTCGATAAATAACGACCCCAGTTCAAATTCATGAGCAAACGTGTCTTTATGTATAAGTCGTGTCTGTGTTCTAGACGAACGAGTTTGTTAGAAGGTTTTTTATGAACCTCGTGAATTAACGATTACATAAACTACCGCTTAAATATCTGATATTTTGAATAATTGTTTACCTTTTAATAGTTCCATTAAGAGACAGCATTTAAATCGCTAAGGGTGAACCTTGTTTGGCAAAAAAAAATCTGTCTCTTGATGGTTCTAGAACCATCTGAATGATTTTGTATTGGGTCTCACTTAACCATTCGGCACCCTAATTCTATTGTAAATAATTACCAAACAATTATATTTCATTTTGCACTATAGCATGAGAGACTCTTAATCATTCTGCACAAAGTCATTCAGCAACTGTCAAACAGCTCAGTTGCCTATTCTCTACCAAAAAAAATACCCCCCTAGAAAACTTATTGAATAAGTCATTTTCTATATCATTAAGTCACTATCAAAGAGTCATTTGTAGTCATTTAAGTAGTCAAAATGATTAAAATGTTGTTTGACAGTTGTTGAATGGTTTGGTGCAGAATGATTAAGAGGCTCTCATGATATAATGCAAAATGAAATATATAATTGTTTGGTAATTGTTTACAATGAAATTATGACGCTGAATGGTTAAGGGGGGCTAGGATACAAAATCATTCAGAGAATTTTAGAACCATTAAGAGGTAGGCTTCTTTTTATCAAACAAGATTCACTTTTAAACGATTCAAATGCTATTTTTTAATGAAACTATTAAGAGGTAAACAAACAACCACAGTTTCGTTAAGTTATTAACAAATATACTCTTTGGTTTTTTAACAGCTTACATCCTTCAAGTGTGGTGGTTTTGCGATTGGTGTTGCGACAAACCATGCGACTTTTGATGGCATAAGCTTTAAAATCTTCTTAGAAAATCTTGCTTCTTTGGCTGCCGATAAACCTCTCGCCACCGCTCCGTGCAACGACCGCCACCTCCTGGCGGCACGATCACCGCCACACGTCCAATTCGACCACCCCGAGCTGCTCAAGATCCCGGAAGGAATCGACCTCCCAAACCCTACGGTTTTCGATTGCCAAGACGAACTCGACTTCAAGATCTTCAATTTGACCTCGAAAGACATAACCCACTTGAAGCAGAAGGCGAAAGACGAACCCATTCCCACCCGAGCCAAAGTCACGGGGTTCAATGTGGTTGCAGCCCATGTCTGGCGGTGCAAAGCGTTATCCTCCGGAACCGATTACGACCCGGATCGGGTTTCCACCATCTTGTATGCCGTCGACATCCGCTCACGGCTCAACCTACCGCATTCGTTCGCCGGCAACGCGGTGCTCAGCGCCTACGCGTCCGCGCCCTGCAAGGAGATTGAAAAAAGCCCGTTTTCGAAACTCGTGGAGTTGATGACTGAAGGCGCTAGCCGAATGACGGGCGAATACGCACGGTCCGTGATCGATTGGGGAGAAGTGAACAAAGGGTTTCCGGCCGGCGAGTTTCTGATTTCATCATGGTGGCGATTAGGGTTCACGGATGTGGAGTATCCATGGGGGAAACCGAGGTACAGTTGTCCGGTGGTTTATCATCGTAAAGATATCATTTTACTGTTTCCGGATATCGTTGGCGAAAGCGATAACGAAGTGAATGTGTTGGTAGCTTTGCCGAGCAAAGAAATGGCGAAATTCGAGGCCTTGTTTCATAAGTTCTTGGCATGATCGTGCTACGATCGCTAAACGGATGCAGGTAATCCGGCAATGTGAAGTGTTTGAAAGTATGTACACCCGGTTTTCGAGCATATATACGATATCGTAATGTATTTCAAACATGTATGTATGTATGCACGTATGTATGTATGTATGTATGCATGTATGTATGCACGTATGTATGTATTGTATTTGTGTTGGACATCAACAACTCAAGATATATATCAATTTGTTTATGTGCTTTTTTAAGGGTTCAATTGGTATCACAGAAAATTTGACATGAATTTTATGTAAAATAAACATAGAACAAAGTGTAACATGTTTGACCTTCCATATTCCTATATAACAAGATGGAACAGACCTAGATTTTACCAATATATTAGGGACTGTTTGTTTACTTCTTAATAGTTTTATTAAGAGATACTTTCTGAATCGCTAAGAGGTGAACTTTGTTTGGCAAAAAACAAGTCTGTCTCTTAATGGTTCTAAAACTCTCTGAATGATTTTGTATCATGGGCTTCACTTAACCATTCAACACCCTAATTTCATTGTAAATAATTACCGAACAATTATATTTCATTTTGCAATATATCATGATAGCCTCTTAATCACTCTAACCACTTAATCATTCTGTACAAAATCATTCAGCAATCGCCAAACAACTCTTAACTTTAAAATAAACCTTAATTCTCTTCTAAAACATCTTTATATTTTACTCCTTTTAAGTTTTAATTATTGTATTTTATGTTTTTTTTACTTTCAATTTGCTGTTTTTAAAATATTATTTTTTATACAATTTTTATATTTTGGTTAATTGAAGTAATTATTAAATATTAATAATAAAAATAAAAATTAGAAGCTACATTAATTTTTTATTAGTTTTGTCTTACCAAACGTTAAACAATTGTTCTGTCATATTCTAAATTTTTGTCCTACTAATGTTATGTGCAGTGGATTGCAAGTTTTGTATTGTCATATCCCATTTTGTCCAGTCTAATATTGTGTTAAACATGGATATAACATACTTTCTTCACCTTTGGTGAAATTTAAACCCCTGACCTCCTAGAAATCCAAAGACTACAATACCGCTAGGCAAAAAGACCCTTTGATAAGTTTTTATAGTTTAATATCATGTCAAACATGGGACAGTGAGTTTTGTACTGTCATGTCCTATCATACTGCTCAAAGCAAGGTCTAGAGATGGAATGTACACAAACCTGTTTTTACTCTCAAAGGATAAAACAGTTGTTTTCATGAATACCTATAAAAGTGTGAGCAAAAACAACCAACACTAAATCACCAAATCCCAACAAATACTAAAACTAAAACTAGATGATTCAAATGCACATGTGAATAAAAGACAAGAGAAAGAAAAGATAAGGAATTTTGAACCGCTAAGGAAAAAAGGATAAAAGAAATAAAAAGGATACGAGAAATAAAACATATGGTGGAAAATGATCCATTTAGCTGGATTTTTAACATGAGTTGACCCAAAATATCATGGTTTATGAAGCTATTCACTATGCCATAATCCACAATCACAAGTAATAACAGAAAATCAGAAGATTGTAAACACAAAAAACATAAAGAGAGACTATTGACTATTGTATGTATTGTTCTGCATTTCAACACCTGGTGACGTTTTTTCCGTCGACTGTGGCGACACTTGATTCGGGTTGGTCGTTTTACCCGCGGGCGGCAGACACCTTTTCGAGAAGAACGCCGCTATAGACTTGGTTCGTCTCGCAGTTTTCTCTGTTTCATAGAACAAACAACCAAATCAGCAAATGTTACAAGATCATCAGGTTATAGAAAAAATTGAAACTTTATTGCATTTTGACGATTATGCCCTTGATAGAATGAGTACCTGGAGAAGATGATAAGCCATATTTTTCTAGAATGTCTTTTTTGACCTGCAAAATAAAATGAAAATCTATCAAGGTCAAGCACTATTAATCCTCGTAGTTAATGGCATAAACCACTGACAAACTTAGCCTCACAGACGAAAACAGCAATGAATTGTAAGCCGCAGGGACAAAACCGTAATTTCAAAGGCACAAGGACAGAAGTAGCGATTTTGAACAAACTACCAAGACAAATCATACAAATGGCAATCTTACAAACGAAACAATTCATTACTATAGCTTATAAGCTAATTTTTTGAAACATTTCAGTAAGCTCCAAGGTTTTTTCCCACTCTTTTCCAATTATGCCCCTTATATTTCCCGATTAATTTTTCAACATATTCTTTTTGTCATTTTACATGGTCATATAAGCATGTCAACTAGTTTTTACAAAACATGACTTGTTTATCAACCAACAGCTAGCTTATCATGCAATTTACCAAACGTAACCCAAATAAAGCATTAGGGGGATGTGGAAATCTCATCTTTGCCAGATTCAAATCCGGACACTGCCAAGCCCTTGTGGCCATGGAGGTTCCCCTGTGATGGCTCCAGGCTGACCCGAAAACCCATGGTTACCAAAAAATAAGCAAGAGGTTGAATAAAATGAGATTGTTACAAACCTGCCAGCGGTTATCTACAAAAGTAGATATCTCACGCACTTTACTTCCCAACTGAGATTTCGGGATATTTGGAAACTTGGAACGCAATGCGCTTACCACTTTGTTGATCCCATGTGGGCAAGACTGGATGACGGAAACCTGAAATATCATTTTCATCAAAAACCAAGAACATGAAAAGATTGTGAATTGCATATGGTTTTGGTACGTAGATGGAACTAGAGAACATGCAAGGGTAAGATTGTAACATCCCCTCCCAACCATACTAGATATTGTCTGTTTTATCCACATCTGAACTCAAGGTTTTAAAACATGTCTTATAGATGAGGTATTGAAGACCCTTTTAAGGCAATCTTTACAACCCTCCCCAACCGATGTAGGATCTCACAATACATCAGTTGTCTTATGAGAAACTTGATACCTCCTTTATCATACGCATTTTAAAACCATGAGTCCAAATGTGGATCAGATGGATAATTTCTAGTAGGGTTGGCCGATGATGTTACATAGGTAGGCGGGTGAGAATTCTACAAAGTCTCAGAAGTTGTAATTTGACATGGGTAGTTTAGTAATTTACTAATTTTGTCTCGTCTCTCTAATTTGTATTACTCATATTTTGGTGTATATATATATATATTACTCCCTCTATCCCAAAATAACCGTCAACAACTCTATTTTAAAGCTTGTTTGTTAGCAGCTTAATGAGCTTAACAGGACCCACAACTTATTTGGTCAGCTAAACACAACTGTTTGGTAGTAGCTTGATGATATCTAAAGTGGCTTATTCAATAAGCTTCTAGGGGGAGCTTTATGCAAAAAGCCAAGTTTTTTTCCAAAACCTTCCCCCCCCCCCAAAACAACTAAAAAACAGGCTTTTTCCATCCATAAAAAACCCAAAAACTTTCTCAATCTAAACATACAGAATAATACACACACAGACAGCTTTATTCATACAGGACTTAATGAAAAACCAACCAAACAGCCCCTTTGTTTCTCCCCAAAGCAAACGTCCACTTTCCAATTCTACCCAAGGTTATGAGACACAGAAACTCATTATTCCATCTATTAACTAAAGGTAAAAATCATCATTTAGTAAATTAAAAAGCATAATAATTACACATTTCTAAAACTGATCACCATTTTCATTGTGGACAATTATTTTGTGAAGGTGGGCGTATATACTTTAAAAAAAACTTACAATTTCCGGTAAATCAGAATCCGAGATAGCAGTTCCGCTCACCAGTGGCACGACACCACCTTTGCTACTCGAAGGGCAATCTTCTTGTACCTCTTCTTGTATATCATCGCCTGCTAGTATCTCTATAGGCGGACCCACAGGGAACACACGGATGCTCAGAGCTTGCAAACACATTTGTTCACTTTCCGAGTGGTCTTGAGTCAATAATGACTGTGGCTTTTCATGAATTAGATTCAAAATTACCAAAGGCCGGTTTTTCCGAAGAGCATGCTCAGTCAAAGAGTTGAGATGCTTGAGTTGTCGGAAAAGTACAGAAAGCTCCTCGGTTTCCAACTGCGCACAACTCGGAGAACTCCGGGCATCTTCAACTAAGTTGGTATGATCCATTCTCTCAACTTCAACACCCTGAATTAAAGATTGATTAAATTAGATAGATAGCCCGAAGAGGAAACTAGAAATAACACTTTTTGTCCCTGCAGTTACGAAATGACAAGATGGTCATCAAGGTTTGCATAAACATCAGGTTTTGGCCCCTCCCTCTAACGATCGTCAATAAGTGAGGAGTATTTTCATTTTTCTATTATCGATTTTTTGTCTATTACCAAATCAAAAACCATGGGGACTAAAATCATAAAATCAATTTTAAGTGGGTAAAAGACAAAAAAGAAGTCAATAAAGTGATAAAAATGTCCCTCATTTAACGGAAATTTTTAACTGCCATTTGAGAGAGGGACTATAGTGGACGTTTTTTGTCAAAAATAACACTTTTCATCCCTGCAGTTTTGAAATCACAAGATGGTCATCGTGGTTTGCAAAAACATCCCTATTTTGTCCCACCTCTAATGGCTGTTAAAATTTTCATTAAACAAGAGGTATTTTCATCCTTTCATCAATTATCTTTTGTCTTTTACCCAATCAAAAACCATAGAGACTAAAATCATATAATCAGTTTGGATTGGGTAAAAGACAAAAAATAATAAAATGACAAAAATGCCCCTCACTTAACAGAATTTTGAACAGCTGTTAGATGGACGAGCAAACACTTTTGCAGACTCCTGTGGCCATCGTCCTTTGTGGTTTCCATTTCATTGTTATTTTTGTCACTCATACTTAAAGATAATAGTTAGCACAAGGGAAGAGAATAGCAACAAATTGCAAACCAAAATTTTTAACAAACCATAGAGACAAAAGAACATAATTTTCTCTAAGATAAATAACCAGATATCTATGATCCCTAATAAGAATAGCTAAAGATAACCACCCAGCTATACAACTTTTCACAAATGGGCCACCAAAGTTCATTTTGTTTCAAAAATGACACCAAAGTTGCATATCAACATCGTTTTGGCCAAATCTAGCCAAAATGTCACCAGAAATCAGTTATTGCAGCTCAAATGATCATTATGCCCCTTTCTGATACTATACTCAAAAGTGGGTTTAAATGTGATGTTAGTTCAAGTCGGCCCCAAATCATATACAGAACAAGCGGCAAAATTATAAGAAGAAGAAACTTTTCTGGTTTCAATTGTAATTTGTAAAAAACAGGTAAACAAATTTTCTGTATATTTTATTAAAATGAAAAAACAGAAAAATATTACTACTAGAAAACTGTCTCAGAAAACTATATAAAAGTTAACTAGAAAGATGAACCATAAGTGCCGTTGGTTTGATGGAATGTTTTTGAGGGATTTGAATTTAGTGGAAGGATTTAGAATCTTTAGAGTGTCTAGTTTGTAGGATTTAGAATAGAATGAATTCCATTCTTTGAAAATAATTTAAAAAACAAATTATAAAAATGTTAAATTACCTTTTTTTATTCTGTAAAACAAATGTTTTTAACATATTTTAAAATATTATTACAAACAATATGAAATTCCACAAAATACCAACTACCCCCATGGAATCTCTAAATCCCATGTTTGTGGAATTGCGATTACAATCCAGACTTCCCTTTAGACCAAACACAAAATTGGAATAGATTCCAGTTCCAAATTCCACAAACCAGGCCCTAATTTTCTAGTTTTAGCTGACATAAAGATTATTAAAAACAATGAGTGTGTCCTCTATGAAAACAAAAAGGATAAACCCATCTAAACATCTTTGCACAAACTACAATAATAATTTCAGCTTAAATTGCAAACGTTGTGCTTTGGAATCAATAATAAGCACAATAAACAAATAAAATGCAATCAATTTTCATCCATGCAACTATGCAAATGACCAATTGACAAACGAATTCATGCAAGGTCATACATAAATGCTAGAATAATGTTTTCAGGTTAAATTGCAATTTTAAGCAAGTTAAATTTCTAATAATTTAAAAGAAAATAATAAATAAAGAACCGCAGATGCTAAACATACCTCATTTTCCGACAGATATCCATCAGGAACAAAAAACCCATCCTCACTCTCATCTTCATCATCAACTTTTGACAAGTTCTCTTCCATAGTTTCATCATCATCTTCCTTATCGCAATCTGATAAACTTTCACCAGGTTCCTCCTATGTCATGAAACATTGATTACAACAATATGATTTTAGATCATTGTAGACCAAATATGAAACAATATTAAAATTTAAGTGAATGTATAAACACTGATCACTCAAAAAAATTGTAATAAATAAAATGCTCATAGCAAAATGCATAGAAGAAGATTGTGGGTCACCAGTTGGGTTGATGTATTATGTATTTATAAGTATTATGTTCTAAAAGTTAATTGCCAATATCTAGAAATTTTGGTGGGTCCCACCTAAGCCAAATTCCTTCTCATCGATAAAAATTAACAACAGATACATACCTCTTCCCATTCTTCATCACTATCAATCTCATAATCCAAGTCTGGATCCTTGACAAGAGGGCAACGAGCTCTAACAACTTCACTGAAGAGAAACAAAGACAATCAAATCCAATCAGCAACTAGAATATGATTTAAGCTTAATGGGACTCACAGCTTATTCGGTCAGCTATACATGACTGTTTTGGTAGTGGCTTAATGATATAGAAAGTGGCTTATTCAGTAAGCTTCTAGGAGGGAGCTTTATGCAAAAAGCCAAGTTTTTTTCCAAACCTGCCCCTCCCAATAAAAAACAAGCTCCTTCCATCTATGAGAAAACCCTCCCAAACAAAAACCTACTCAATCTTTACAGAGAGATTAATCTATAGAGACATCTTTAAACATACAGGACTTAATGAAAAACCAATCAAAAAGCCCCTTAATGAGCTTAATGGGACTCGCAGCTTATTCAGTCAGCTATATATAACTGTTTGGTAGTGGCTTAATGATACTGAAAGTGGCTAGTTCAGTAAGCTTCCAAGAGGGAGTTTTATGCAGAAAGCCAAGTTTTTACGGAACATGTCCTTTGCAATTAAAACACGCTCCTTCCATCTATGAAAAAGCCCTCATAAACAAAAAATTTTGCGATCTGTACCGACAGATTAATCCACACAGACCACTTTAGCCATAGATGACTGGATGAAAAACCAACCAAACTGCCACTTAGTAATTCAATTTTGGTAATTGTAGCAAGCCACTACTAAGACAAGCATTCAATGTCTTGTAGTTACACAAATATTAGAGATGGATGCAAGTTAATAACTTCATATATAGAATGGTGGTATATAGTCACAACTAGAAATATTTGATATACATATACATAACTGGATAACATACAAGAATGCTTAATCACAGATTAAAGTAAATGCAAATATCCCTATTTACGACACCCATTTAAGGTTTGAATTTGGATCAAGAAAAAAATAATGATTCAAGTTCAGTCTCCTCTCTCTCTTTCCCCTCTAAAGTTAATGCCTCATGCCATTCTTTTAACCTTTATTTGCAAATCTAAGATCTTTCTTCAATCTTCCACTTACGTTTTTCCACCACTCTCAACCCATTTCTCTCTCCCTGAAGACCCGATATAAGCTAATCAGATATTAAAACCTCAATCCTTCATGTATTCCTCCTTCCTATTTCACGTAAGAATACACTCACCATATCTCAATTGACCAAACCCATCTCTCATCTCTCCAAATGTGTTCAAGAAGCCACATGGATGACTGTGATTGAAGCATGTTTAGAGATAACTCCCAATTGGGGTTCAAAAATACCACTTGAAAACAAAATTAAGCTTCAGCAAAACAACAAAAACTTCATGTCACATATAATTGTACTCATCATGTAAAAGCCAAATAACAGAACATTTTGAGCATTAATACACACAAAAAAAAAAGCTTCCCACATTCAAGAACTTTGATGTTTCTACACCTTCCATATGCTGGCTATGTTGCAATGATAAGGATTCAGGAACACATGTAGCTTACAAAGTTGTTAAAGGCTCAAGGCGCACTTAAGGGCAAAGGGGTCTTGGCCTCTTGGGGCCTAGGAGCAAAGCACAGGCATGAGGCACGGGCCTCAGAAATGTGAGGTGCATCTTATAAAAAGGTATATATATATATACACACACACAGTTATACACAACTCAAATATGTAGCAAGTACTCTAGTGCCACAACCAGCAGTACTTCAATAGAGGCAGAAGAGAGAATGGTTTAAAGCGTGAGCCATGAGGGAGAGGTTAAAATCTGAGTATTTATAGAAAAAGAGGCTTGAAGTTATGAGAACTACACGTCTAATACTAGGGTTTCACACATGTCATCTATTTAATATTTTTTAAGAAGTCTAGGAGATAAATAGATGAGAAAACTTATCTAATATTGGGGTTTGACTTGGTATTTAGTAACTCTTTATGAGGCACGCCTAGGCCCACAAGGCACCTCAGCCAAGGCGCAAGGCCTTGGTGAGCCTCGTGAATACACCTAGCCTCGACTTTCAAAAAAGCCACAGAGCCTAGATGCACCTGCTTTTAACAACTATGGTATCTTATATGTAGATACCAAGATTCAGCCAATAAAAAACAGCATTGTCGCTCTCATTTGCCCAGCTTTGTCCCCTTGCATTCAAGATCAATAATCAACTGCAATGGGTCCCGGCACCTAGGCGCAAGGCATAGGAGTGAGACATGGGGCCTCAAAAATGTGAGGCGCAACTTATAAATATATACATACAAAAACACACATAGTTACACAAAACTCAAATACATAGCAACTACAAGTCTCCAATGCAGCAACCAACAATACTTCGATAGAGGCAAAAAGGAGAAGAGTTTAAAATGTGAGTGATGAGAGAGAGAAGTTCTAAAGTCTAGGCAGCATTTATAGAGAAAGGGGCTTGACGTTACAAGATACCTTGGGTATTTAATATTAGGGTTTGACTTGTGTCATCTATTTGGTAACTCTTCTTTTAAGAAGTCTAGAAGATGAGAGGATGAGAAAACTTATTTAATATAGGGGTCTGACTTGGTATTATATAACTCTTTATGAGGCACGCCTAGAACCACAAGACACCTCAAGAAAGGCGCCTTAGTGAGCCTCATAAATATGCCTAACCTCAACTTTAAAAAAAGCCAAAGACCTTGAGCCTTAGGAGCCTCAGAACCAAGGCACGCCTCAAGAATGCTTTTAACAACTATGATCAAGTGACAAAATCAACAATACAAGTGGCCCAAAGAACTGCACCCCAAAAGCTTCTAAGCTTGCTAGTGAGAAATTGAAAATGTGGGAAGCAGTTGAACCATAGTCAAAGTACTAGTCAAAGAATGTAATTTTTCGACACATTGCTGATTTTTTTACTCATGCTATAGTATACATGGTGGTAAGCTCATAAATACATAAAATATATCAATTGTCTTTTCCAAATAGATAACTAAGAACATCATTATGTACCTTTTCTTTGGCCAATGACCATAAAATGCAGGTCTGTGACTTTTATCAAACTGCAGCAACTGTTTGCTCCGACCAAACTTCTGACTACCAAAAACAGAAGATTTGCAGTCATTTTTTGCTTCAGTCCATCCATCATCAAACTTCTCTACACTTGGGTTTTCTTCACATGGCAGCCCCCTATTAGTTAGCTTAAGCTCCGTAACAACAACTGTCTTTGGAGTTTGTCGAATTCCCCAATGCCGTTTTTTGCTACTACAATGAACTAATCGATGCCAAGAATCCAAGTGTACTCTGTAAATACGAGAAACAAATTTATACCAAAATCAATTATAAAGAAAAATAAGTATAGAAAATGGGAAGCGGGAAGTGGACCTACTTCCATAATTCCTTTTCATCAAATTCATCATTTAGTGTTAGAGCATCATCCATTGACTGAATAACAGATTCAGACACGTGTACCCTTTGCTTAGGAGAAATGTCGGTACCAGATGCTTTAACCAACGATTGGTCAGCCTGCACAGGTGAACCACTTTTGCTTTTTTTAAGAAATCGTTCCAAGATTGATGCTTGTTTTTGTAACGCATGCTGCCTTTTCTGTTCTGCTTCTTCCTTCTCCCGCCTTCGCTGTTCTTTATCTGCTTCCTCTTGTTGCTTTTTTAACTGTTTCCTTATTTCAGTCTCACGGCGTTTTTCCTCTTTTTCGGCCTCATCTTGCAAACGCCTAAGCTCTTTTTCCTGCAATTAAGCTCAAGTTCAGAAAACAAAAAACACTATTAAACTGCAAACGATGATCAACCATTGACCAAGAAAAAACCTCAGGGGGGCTCTTTTTCTTACAGCATGGGATTCAGTGGAATTTGAATCCATCAAAAGAATTTGACTTTGAAGGAATTAGGATGGAATTTGATGAAATTTGACCACGTATTTGGTTCATTGGTAAGATGGAATTGTTTAAATAATTGGAATCTTTGGGATATCCCATGAAATGGTGAAATCTTTAATCTAAGGAATTCAATGGAATTCAAAGGATTCCTAATTGTTCAATATGTGAACCAAACATAAGGAAGTAGACATTCCAATTCCATTGAAATCCTTTAAATTCAATGAACCAAACAGCCCTCGTAGTATGGGATTAGTGTGAGGAGGGCAAAGCCCAAGATCACCCATTTCCAAAAGAGCATCATGGTATGTCTAGAGAACAAAAAAATAAATAATATTCTTTGTATTCAAGGTTAAAACTTGTGTCTAAGATGTACACCAATAATCTCTCATAACTAGAGATGGCAATGGGGTCAAGGGTATCAAGTATTGCAATCTCCATCCCCATCCTAGCTTTCCAATCCCCATCAGGGAATCAGGGATTTTTTCCCGTCTATACGATTTATTTACGTAATTTTTTTATATATTGCATATATAAAAGCCAATTTTACGTTTATAATGCTAAAATATTAATCACCCAAATTTTAATTCTTGCATTTGTATAAGGTTAACATAAAAATCGTAGTTCAAACACAAGTATATCAATTACAATATTTATATAATCACGCCATTATATCAACAAAAGTTTCTCAAGAATAACCAAATCAATAATGTTATATTTTTACTAGTTTTCATCATAGAAGATCGATTATATTTATATATTATATATGCTCATTGGGTTTCTCACTATATTATTATACTTAGTGTATATATACATGGAAACGTATAATTAATCCTCGGGGTCACATAGAAATGTATAATTAATACTTGGATTTCTCACTATATTATTATACTCGGTATGTATATACATAGAAATGTATAATTAATACTAGGTATCACATAGAAATGTATATTAATACTTGGGTTTCTCACTATATTTATTATACTTGATATATATACATGGAAATGTATAATTAATACTCAAGGTCGGAACCAGGGATGAAGCCCTCTAGCCTCATTCCCAGTTTATAAATTCAGGGATTCCCCATCCCCGGTGTCAGTTATTGGGTTCCACGTCATCTACGGGTTTTTGGCCATCCCTACTTATAACATGAAGAAAAGAAGGTAGTCAAGAAGCCCGAGAAGAGCCAACACAAAAAAGAAACTTTTTGTGAATATATATAGTTAAAAACAAGAAAATAACTTACGCTTTGTAACTTTTCCTTCAAAAGTTCCCGCTCCATTCTCATTTTCTCTTTCTCCACTTCCCGTTTGTTTTTCTCCAATTGCTTCACCACTAGTTTTTCTTCTTTCTTTACCTCTTTCTCAGCACTTAAATCATAAACAAAGTATAAGCTTGTGAACCAAGAACAATAACACATAATATAACATAATCAACAACACTACCACAGTAACTTACACATCAATCCCATTTTTCTCTTGCATTTTTTCAACTAGCAAACGTATTTCTGCTTCACTCAGCACCTTACCAAGCCTTTCAGATGCTTTCATTACCTTCTGAGCAGAAGGGCTCTCTGACTTCATTAGTTCAGTTATAGCAGCTGAAATAAATTGTTCAATGTCATTAAACATCATACAAACTTAGAGCATGTTTTTTTGCAGCTTAATGAGCTTAATGGGACTCATAGCTTATACTCAGCTATAAATTACTGTTTGGTAGTGGTTTAATGCTATGGGAAGTGGCTTATTCAGTAAGCTTCAAGGAGGGAGCTTTATGAAGAAAGCCAAGTTAAACCCAAACATGCCTCTCCCGATTAAAACACACCCCTACTTCTAACTATACCCTCCCAAACAAAAACCTTCCCAGTCTATAGATAGACAAATTAATCACACAGACAGCTTTATCCATACAAAACTTAATGGAAAACCAACCAAACAGCGCCTTAGCTTAATTCCAATAAGGTATTATTTGTGATAATTCTTCCTGCCAAGCCTATCAATCCAAAAGTTAACTTTTTTTCCAACGATGAAACATTCAAGATTCCAACACATGGCTCCACCTCAATCCAACACATCTTAGCCGATATCTCCAAAAACATAGAAGAAGCAACAATAAAATCAAGACATGAAACAATAAAAAGCATAAGAAACGTCACATGAAGCTATCAAGGGAAGTTCTTTCTTTTCATATTCAACACAAAAGACTTGGGTAATTAAGCAATTTTGTTGGTTTCTCTTTCATATCGTGATCAAACTGTAGGGCCAACAGACATGTGAGATGTGACCTTTTGAAATTGATAAAAGTAAAGGAAATAACGATCACACTTAATGTTGGTTCTTAGTGTGATATCAATATCCAGAGGTTTCATCTTGTTTATAGGAAATACAAAAGATCATCAATAAATGGTGAAGAATCTTTCTTACCATATGCAGTACTGGGTGACAATAAATGTAATAAAGAACAAGTAAACAAAAATAAAGAATGATCAGGGACTGACCAGAAACAGCAGTTATCCTCTCGTGGATCTTTTTGCGACAAGTCCGCCGAATTTTGAGTTCACCACGAAAAGACTTTGGAAGTAATTTTAGATCTCTTGTCTACAAAAGCAATCTTGGTCAACAGAATTTAGACAGAATAAAATTACTTGCTGTAAAGATTTAGCCAACATCAAAATAGAAACAAAAATGAAAACAAATACATTTTAACCAACAATTATTATAACCCAAAAAACACATTACAGGAACCTAATTAAATGCATCTATAATTATATATCACATACATTGATATAATTTTAACGAATCAAAATAGTAAAAACATGTATATCTTATTTGCAATGATGTAAATGGATTAAATAACACCTCCCCTTTGAAACCTCTAAAATGCTACTACCAAACAAATATCATTTTAAAATAAAGGAATTTCCATTTGCAATTACGTAGAAGGATATAACGAAACCAACCCCAACCCCCCAATGAAAACCTTAAAATGCTGCCACCAAACAAATCTCATTCCACAACTAGGGGTGTAAACCAGTCGAGCTTTTAACAAGCTACTCAAGCTCAAGCTTAATAATTCTCAGGCTCCAGTTGACCTCAAACACAAAATAGAACTTGTTTAACTTAACGAATCAAGCTTCATAAAACCAATGTTCGGCTCAGCTCGTTCAAAACCTCAATTAAATTTCCAAGTCGAGTTGGACCAGGTCATTCGAGCATATACTTTTTCAAGCCAAACATGGTCATATGTCCATAAATAATATGACAAAAATATAAAAATTATCAACCTCAAGCCAATAAATGAGTTAATCAATAGCAAATACGAACCCATAAACAAGCATCAATTTCGAGCTCAATAACTCAGAAAATATTAGAGCTTGAGCTCTATCCCTACACTGAAAAAGTTATTAGAGCTCAAGTCAGGCTCAAATCACCTACTACTCAACTCGGCACGTTTACACCCCCCATGAGGCTATGACCACAACAATGGAACTCCAGAATCAAACAAGAAACCAATAAAGATACCCATAATCATCTATTCGATACAAATTCAAGTTGCTAATAAAGTGAAAAAAGTATCTAATTGAGTAACGATAGAAGATTTTCATGTATACCTCCCAACACCAAAGACCAGAAGGAGATTCGTCTTCCAACACATCAGCATTTGGATTTTGAACTCCATAGAAGGATCTCTGGCCAATGAGAAGCACAGAACTCTTCACAGAAGCAGGTGTCATCGAACCCTCTTTATCTTTAACAGAATCAAAAATCGATTCCACCAATTTCGATAAAGGAAGACTACTCTCTTCCAAGAAACACGCAATCATCGAATTACCCGAATAATTCGCCTTCAATGAATCCACATTAAACATTACGATCTTACTGTTAAACTCCTTGTAATACTTAATTAAACCATCAATTTCTTCACGTAAAGCGTCAATGCGAGCCTCTTTTTCTTCTATACTCATCACTAACTCAACTCTCTTCCTCTTCGTCGCTTTCTTTCCACCATCAACAACCATCGCGTCGCCCATTTCGACAAACCCTAAACCCTAATCTCAAAAATGGAAAACCCTCTTCCGATTCGACACCAGGGTTTGAGATTTCAACACAAAACTTAACTTCAGATACACACAAACTCTCGCTTTTCCGGATTTCTTCACTCGAATCGAACGAAACACACCAAGATTCCGATGAAATGCTACGAATCTACTTAATCTCTTTGGGGTTTTCGATCAAATGGGGTAAAGATATACGTGGGTATGGGTAAATGTGCCAACTGTTTCGAGTATTTCAACAAATCTACTTAATTGTTGTATATCAAGAGGTGCGATAGAAAATGGAAAATGTAAATTGGGTATAGATTTCCCGCTTTCATGAAAATGGAAAAACGCAAGTGGTGGGAAATCAGGGGTTTGCCGCTTATAATTTCGATTTATTGGCGCCTGATTCATCCACCCCCTCGATCGCTCACATCGGTTTCGATGGGTTGTGTTGTGGCTTCTATTTTCTCCTGCCACGCGGCCATGTTGATTCTTGTTTTGATTATGAATTTCGTTTTCTTTATGATTCAAAGTAATGTTAAAGATTTTGGAATTGTTTATAAAAATAATTTATTGATTTATTTCGGTATGGTATCGATAATAAGTAATTTTAAGTGTTTGGATAAACAACTTATACTGGTAATAAGAAGTTAAACTCTTCTAACTTATAATAATTTGATAAGTGCTTTTATAGAAAAACATAAATTATTTCAAATAAGCAATCCCAAACACCTATTAGGTACTTTTTCTAAAATAAACCGGAATGATATTTACGTAATGCAAGGAGATACATTTCGGTTTTAATGTTTCGTTTTATTATTATTTTTGTCTCAATCGATATTATAATACGATTTTATGTGGTTTTAAAAAAACGATAATGTTTTTATTTTTAAATAAAATATAAATTTAAAAATATCATAACATTTTTTGAAATATATATATATATATATATATATTGATATTAGTATCAACTAATTAAAATTTCTCCTTTTTTTGTGTAATTTCTKTAATTCATTTTTTTTATTTTTGGTTTAATAATATAATTTTATAAAACATAATAATTAAGTATTTTGTTAACACTCAATGATTATCCTAATTATATTTTAGATTTTTTATATTTAAAATGAGATGTTTATCTTGTATTTGATTATGTTTATTTGCAGTTAGTTACACGAATTCAAACATGGAGTTTTAATAAGTCGTATTTACGCACAATATACTTGTAATCTTGAATTTTAAGTAATATGCATCAATAAGCAGTACTTCGTGTATCAAAAATGGTTTTTGAGAGTTTTTTGTCAGATGTTTTGTAATATAGTATATATAATTAAAATTCAATATTTCAAATGGTCCTTTTAGTTTGTTAGATTGTTTTTTAGGGATTTGGATTGAAACATAATTAAAATTATTGGTGTGTTTGTTTTGTAGGATTTATGATGGAACTGGATTCCATTATTTATAAGTAATTATAAAAAATAATTAAAATACATTTTTATTAATCGCTTATTACAAAATAAATATTTTTAACGTTTTTTAAAACCTTATTTCATACAAACCTATAAAATTATGTGAAATCCCCTGCATCGCATAAGGATTTCAAAATCCTATGTTTGTAGGATTACAACTAAATCATAGTATTTCAAATCCGGACAATTGAACAAACCAAACATATAATTGGAATTGATTTAAAATCCAAATCCATTAGATTCCTGCTGACCAAACGAAACCTTATGGGGTGTTTGGTTCGCATAATGATTTCTGAAAAAAAATAGAATATGTCAACGAAATTGGAATTGAATGTTACTAGATTTGACCAAATGTTTGGTTGACATTAATGGAATTTAATCTGTCTAATAAATTGGAATCTGTTTGTTTGGTTTGCAACATAATTGAAATGAAATGATGAAACAGAACAAATATACCCTTTCTTTGTGCCTCCTATGTTGTTTATTGGTCTATCTTTTTTCCGTATCTCGTGCTTGGTAAGTAGTAACGAAACTTTATTTGAAGTCTTCTGCGTTCCTAGTTTTCCTGCATGGACTATTTAATTAACTGGGATTAGTACAGACTGTTACGAAGAAGCAAGAAATCGGGAGAATGCTCACTGGGACTGGACACGGGTTAGGAACAAAGTCAAAACATGAATAGGAAGCAATATGCAGAAATTGAAGTACAAATCGGAACAAAAATCGTATTATGGAGTTGTTGAATCAAAAACAGTAAACAAAAATCGAAGTAAGTAGAAATAGGAAGCAGTAATCGTACATGTCTTCAAACGATTGGAAGCAGTCGGTGAGAGCAGTCGAGAGAATGGAAACAAAAGTCGGGTAGGGGTTACTAAGATGAGATAAACCAGTTGTCATGGGGGTATATTTGTCATTTATACAAATTTTGATGGGATGGATTTCAATTCCATCTATTTCAAGGGAACGTTTGGGATTCGATTTCATTCGATGAATAACCAAACGTTTGAATAAAATTTGGTTAACGAAATTGATCATTCTAATTCCATCAAATTCCGGCGGATTTCAATGAACCGAACGCCCACTGAGGGAGCTTTCTTTGATCGAACAGGTTTGAAGGATCTGTATTTCATTAAATGATATAGATCTGGAATGATTTAAAATATTTGATATGCCTGCCTTGTAAGATTTGGAATGAAGTTGAATTTTATTATTTATAAACACAAATTATGAAAATTATTAAAATTTATTTTTATTAATTGATTATTAAAAAATAAATGTTTTAAACATATTTTAAAATATTATTATATATAAATACTACACATTTTGATTTTAGGTTTATTGGACAAATGTGATATTTAAACATGTGTGGCGTCTCACACATTTGATTTAAAAAAAATACACAAACGAAAAAAAACCTCGTTTTCCCGGTTGGAATAGGGATGGAGATATGATCAAATTCCCAACAGGGACGGGGGCGGGGATTGGGGTCGCCGCCCCATTACGATGCCTACTTAAATTATCTCAGTCAAATTGAAATAATCATACTGATAATCATAAACTGTATTATTTCAATCAAATTTGAGATTCTCCCAATATAATTTGAAACTAAACCCATATTATTTATTCAAAGACCAAAACATCCGACAATTTTCTACCATAAGAAAACACAACTTTCGTATGATATAGTTCGATATAAAACATAACATAGGATGTTATTCACAAGTGTATGGATGTTATATTAAATAACAGTGTGGAGTTGTAGAGCTGTAATTCGAACCGAACAAACATAAAAAGAGGTTTGTTGATGTTCGTTCGTTAAACTTAACTGAACAAAAGAACGGTAAATAAACTAAAATCTTTATGTTCGTGTTTGTTTGTTTAGAAATCAGGTGTGTTCGTGTTCGTTTATGTTTGTTCGTTAACATGCTAGACGAACGTAAGCGAACGAGTTAAACAAACATAAACAAATATGTCTAAAAAGTTAAAACTTAAATAAATATTATTTGAACGAAATAAATATAAATATTATATCTTAGATTTAATATATAAACGAACGAATGTAAATGAACAAACGTTCACGAATATAGATGAACGAACGAGATTCTTATTCATGTTCGTCCATTTAACTAAACAGAAGGAAAAAAATCATGTTTGTTCGGTTCGTTTACAGCAAACTCATATTTGATAGTTAAAAGTGAATACACGAATGCTATAACATCGGTGAAAAAGACGATGCATATCAATTATGTTAAATAACATCATTGATTCATATGTAAAGTGATGTTGTTACATTAAATGACACTATCAATTCACGTGTGAATAAAAATGTTACATTACATAACAGTAATTGTGGATTACATGTGCATTGATGAATGATAAGCATTCAAAATTTTACATAGCTACGTATTCATATGTGAATACAACAATAAACATTTCCCAATACTCAAATGGTAATCTTTTAAAAGGATATAACGATATGGATGTCAAATTAAAGATAACCAGTTACTCTTTTTTATAACGTGTTTAATCATTTATTCCACCTATTACCTTTACCTTGTTATAAGCCTGAAACGGTTTTATAGTGACGGTTTTACGGTGAAACACAATAGATGTTTTGAGAATTATACGAAATATTTTGAGAATCTTTTGTTCAAATCGAAGTTAGAAGTCAATATTCAGTCAACGTGCATAAATTTTGGTCCCCAAATTACGATTCTTGAACCACTATGCGCTTTCGGTTGCCGTTTCTTGTAAAACAGTAAACAAAAACGAGTTGTTTTGTCATATGGCTCATTAACTATGGACCCAATTTGTAACGAGTCCGAAATATATATTAGTATCATACTAACAGTCACCTGATCGATGATTAGGTGTATGGAATCTGCATAAGCAATCACATCGTCTAAAATATTAATCGGATCGAAGGTGGGCTTCCATTTCATCAGATACATGCATCAATCTTTTTCGTATTTGAATTACGGTTGTCGGCTTGAGAATTCAAATATTGACCTGAGTGGTTTACTGGTTGAAAACAATATGTTTGAGTTGAATGTGTGTGATGGCAAGTTAAAAACGATGGTCAACGTGTTGAAATCACTGCGTGGTACTGTGTTGGGACAGGGGGTCGTGTTTCCAGTCTTGATTCTCAAATGAATGTTACAGTCGTGTGTTAGTTGTTGACGTGATCGGTTCTGCACCCTTTGTAGTTTTATTAGTTTGTTAATAAGTATTTTTTTCCCGTTAAATTATAAGGGAACCTCCTTTCTTTTTATTGCTTTTAGGCTCGTTATCTTTGTCACGAGTAACCAATTTCATTAGGAACAACGGGATATGGAATGCATCTTCTGTCTGCGCCCCCTGATCCTATTTATACCATGTCTCGTCCCATCTAATTATCGACGGGTTCACGAAGGAGGAGGGGGAAGAGGAATTTCAACGATGTGTGGAGAACAGATTAGGCAGCTGTTTAGCATAACCGGTTACCATGCTGATGTGGCGAGTGATGTGGTATCCAACTCAGTATTATTTGTTGAAACATTAACATGATACGTGTACTTAAATCTTTAGAATGTTACAACTTAGGTACCAAAATGGAGGTTTTGAAGTACATTATTCAAAATAAGAATCAAGTTAAAGTACATTATTTTTTTCATGCAATTTATACTTCGCTAGAATGGTACTCGCGCAATGCAGCGAGATACATGTTGATTTTAACATGTCATTTTAGTTTTTATCTCAATCGATGTTATAATATAGTATTATGTGATTTTGAAAAAGCGATGATGTTTTTATTTTTGAATAAAATATAAAATTGTGTAAATTTTTAATTATAATTTAATAACGAAGTAATTTATATTTGGGTTAGTAATATAATTTTCTTATAAAAATAATAATTAATTATTTTGTTAGAAATCGATAATTATCCTAATTATATTTTAGATTTTTTATATTTAAAATGAGATGTTTATCCTGTATTTGATTATGTTTATCTGCATTTAGTTACACGAATTCAGGTATGAAGCTTTAATAAATTGTACTTACGCATAATTTACTTGCAATTTTGAGTTTTAAGTAATATGCATAAATAAATAATACTTTACGCATAAAAAACGGTTTTTAAGAGTTTGTTGTCAAATGCTTTATAATATAATATAGATAAAACATTTGACAAAAACTTTTAAAAACCATTTTTTATGCATGAAATACTGTATATTGATGCATATTACTTAAAATTCAAGGTTACAAGTAAATTATGAATAAGTACAACTTATTAAAGCTCCATGTTTGAATTCATGTAACTAACTGTGGATAAACATAATCTAATAGAAGATAAACATCTCATTTTAAAATATAAAAAATATAAAATATAATTATCCAATCATTTAGTTGTAACATAATATTTAATTATTATCTTTATAAAATATTATATGATTAAACCAAAAATAAATTATTTCGTTATTTAATTTTTAAAAAAATTCTTAAAATCAAATCTAAGGGGCTGTTTGGTAATTGTTGAATGGTTTGGTGCAGAATGATTAAGTGATC